TATGGGGTATAAGTAATAGCCCTTTGGTAAGGCTTGGTAAAGGCTTTTTGCTGTACTTCTAAGGAACTGTGGAAGTTTACCTCTAATGACCGGTAACTCTTATGATGGGTGGTTTAAATTCTTTACTTTTGACCAAATTAAAGGAGGGCTTGATTGAATTGTCAACTGATAAATCATTAAAAATTATGTAAGAGGATAAATTATTATATGATATTTGCCAATAACTTTGGAGCTCAAAGAATTAAGTCATTGGTCTAACAGATCTACTTCATTCTCATTTATGTGAGCAGCCTAGAAAGATGAAAGGTAGGAATAGAATTAATACTGCATATTGTCTTATCCTAACAAAAGGTAAGATTTAGCCACAGATGACTGAACTTATTGAAAAGAAATGTGCTATATGTATATTTTTAAGAGGTAAATTTTTATAGGTAATAATTATCATTTTTCTATTTCATTCATGATGTATTGAACAATTATGAATTAATAATTGGAATAGTAATACAAAATTAACAATTTAACACTTAGAGGCTTATGGTCACAATAAATTTAACTACAGGTATATTTATATTACAGGGAGATGGATGATAAAATATTTTTAAATGTAACTGTGTAATACATTAAGAAAAAATGCTGAGGGGGAAATAAAATGGAAATATGAATTTAGGGAGAAAGGATATAAAATGTCTAACATTTAAAGAAGATATTTATGGTCCTATTTTTGTTCTTCTTTAACAAAAGGGAGATACTTTCCAGTAATTCCCTCTCCCACCACATCAAAGTCTTTTTTAAAAAACAAATTATCACTCTATCTTCTAGAAAGTACATCTCTTCTTCCATTTCTCTGTCCTCCTCCTTAGGCACTTGAATTGAAATCTGTAACTAGGTAATAGTCTCTTGATTTTACTTTGTAGTATATTGTTACATTATTTGTGTTCATGTAAATGGAAGGTGGTGAGCTTCAAGTTACTGTAGTGTTCTGATTCCATTTGGTGCATTTAAAACAGTAACATTATGATCTTATTTAAAATGTCAGTATTTATAATGCATGGGAAGTTAGGTCCTTTGAAGTATTTAAAATTATAATGAAAAACTTTAGATATGAACTTAAAAAGTTGAGAGAGATACTTAAGTTTTTCATGTTATTTTTGGACATAGCATGAAGAAAAATAATCAGGGACAAATCCTCCTAGCTGTGTAGAATATGTTATGCTGGGGCGGTGGTATGTTTCAGTCTAAGACCATAGACAATATTATATTTCTGACAAATAATTCTTTAAGTGGAGCTGAAAAACTGTTCTTAGAGTGTCTTGGGGTCAATTATCACAGGAAAGAACGAATAAGTAGGGCAGTAACAGTTTTTATTGCA